ACGATATATGACATGGTGAAGAACACGGAGGATGTCGACCAGACAGACATCACCCTGTTAGATTTCGCCAAGGCCTTTGATAAGGTACCTCATGCCAGACTGCTCCACAAAATGGACTACTACGGGGTAAGAGACTTTCCAACTTGAGTGGATAAGACAGTTCCTGTCCAACATAATACAGATTGTAATCCTTGAAAATCACAAGTCTGACCCTCGTAATGTGGTACCCAAGGGCAATGTAATGGGTCCCTTACTCTTCGTGGCCTACATTAACGACCTGCCAGAAGCAACAGCATCAAGCGCTCGACTGTTTGCCAATGACTGTCTCCTCTTCCAACTCATCAAGAAAACTGAAGATGCTGACTTGCTGCGATAAGATCTCACCTCGTTGAAAAAGTGGCAAATGTGTTTCCATCCGTGTCTCAGGACGACGTCAACACCACCAGACGTCCTACACACTACATGGACACACATTAGAAACAGTAAATTGTGGGAAATACCTTGGGCTCACCATCAGCGAAGACCTCACTTGGACAAAACACATAAAAACCAGACCATCGGCAAAGCCTCCAAGACACTTGGCTTTTTAAGGAGAAATTTGGGAATGTGTACTCCAGCAACAGAAGTCAAAGCATACTTCTCCCTAGTAAGACCTACCCTACAATATGATTCTCCATTTTCGGACCCGCACCAAATCACCATCATACGAGATATCGAGCAAGTACAGAGAAATATTGAATGCATATTCATCAAATATATAAAGTGACATGAAATTTGAATATTTTTATAGTTAAATTAGTAAAGATACTTTATATATTAGCATATCTAGATCAAATTAAACATAAAATAAACATTTAATTAAGAAAATACGCATATGAAACTATTAAATCAGGTATCCCGATGATCGAATAGGGACAAAGTACAGCCACTACACGTCCGGGAGGTGTTGAATCTGACCCCTCCTGTTACAATACCATCCAGTTTTCCTGGACTTTTTTACTTTTGGCCGAAGGAGTGGTCCCCTGTCTGTTTGAGATGCGTCTGAGTCAATTACACTCAATCGCAGAGTTTGACTCGTAAACGGGAAGAAGAAGAGGTATTACGGAATCTTGTATATAGCTATATCTATAAATGTACTAATCATTTACTAGTTAACAGTTTGTATAAAATTAAACCACACATGCTGTACATAAAGTTAATATGCAATTTATCCCGACTTGCTCAAAGTATCCATGCAAAGTCAGGAGCTTGTGATTACGTGTTTATCGTTGATTGCTGTCGGTCATGTTTTTTTTTCGTTATTCTTTTTATCAGATATCATGCCGTTGGTTTTTTCGTTTGAATTTGTTCCCCAGTTTGTCATGTCAGAGCCTCATATAGCTGACTATATGGTATGTGATTTGCTTGTAAATGGGGCTGTCGTGTGGGTACCTATATAAATGCTTATGACCACGTCATTAGTACTCTGGTAGATTGTTGTCTCATTGGCAAACATACCACATCTCCTTACTTTTAGGTTGTTCTATCACAAGCCACAAAAAGTATATATATTCATGTGGAGTGGTCAAATATTCCGTCTATCACTGATAACTTATTTTTTACTTTATTTACATGTAAAGGAAATAAAATAAACAGACAGGTTTATAATTAAACTTCAACAAATACCAGAATAACAACGCTCGTAAAGTGATTGTTAAATACAATTTTGCCCAGATGATAAAGATTAAACATGAAGACTCAAATGTAGTGTGTGAACGAAATAAATAACAATCAGTGGAATACTCACTTTTGTCACAAATCACCAGAATGTCAGACTGCAATATTTTAACATTTTCATAAATGTACGATGATTCTGATAACATTTTAAATGTTTATGGCTGAAGTGTTGGAAGATTAATCATTGAATGATTTTAAATTTAACACTTACGGATAAAGACAATTGAATAATTTAATATAATAAGTGATATATCTATATGTTCAAGGGTACCATTATACAACAAAACTAAACTCCATTAAAGATTTACTTAAAGCCCTTAAAACAATAATTATACACTAGTGTTCATAGTTTTATATACTTCAAACACTCTTGAAGGAAACTAAACCTGGTTTCATGTTTCATATGAAAACATCTGTTCTTACAAATCGAAAAGGGGTATAAAAATGCACCGTACAATAGTTTCCTTAAAAAGTTCTTCCAATTGTTAATAAAATGCTCGCGGTGCGCAGCTTGGTACATCCGCAGATGTCCAACCCTGAATAGTTGGGGCAAGTAGGGACACTACATTCAAGCTTGATACAGCTCTGAATTTGGATTGTGATTAAATATATGACACAGCATAGGTTTCTGACACGGAATAAATGTGGAAAAAAAACAACAGAAAAATTTTTAATTTGGACATTTACCTATTATGGTTCAATAGCCAAAATCTAAATACATGGTTATATTCAGCATATCCAAGTACACCAAGAATTTAATTCTATTTATAAATGTACAATATTAGCTAAGTTTTTAAAATGCTCAATAAAGGAATTTAGTTTAAGCTGTAATTGGTAGGGAACCTTTTATCAAATAAATTAACAGTTCTTTTAGTGTTTGAATATTGCTACAAGTGGGGTACAGATGGATGTGTATGATAATTGAGGTTTATTTTTCATCAGGTAATGATTGAAGTTTTAAAACATATTGTGACTTTGGGTGATGGGAAAGGGGAGGAAATTCATTTTTCTTGGCACAGTTAAACTGTTAGCATTAAGAAATTAATATTGATAATATAGCAATTTTAGGAATGAATGGTGTAGTGGAAATGAAATGCAGAATAAAATTAAATCTAAGTTGAAAGGATAATAGAATTATATTATAATGATGAACTGAAGATTTTTAAAATTTATTTGCAAAATAGGATAATAATATGGGATAAATTTGTGGCATGAAATGGCAACTGGCTTAAGGATTGTAATTCTATGAGGTTTGGATGTTATTTTAATTATATTTGTGAATTTGTGGTAAGAATTCTTCTGAAAAGTGACATTAAAAGGTGACATTAATGTTGTGTGCTTTAGAGTGATTTATCATTTAATTGTGGTTTGAGTTATTTTTATTTAAACAGAACTGTCAATATGGAGGAAAGTGTGTATAAGAATATGTGGGAAATGTTTAGTACCCTCACTTGGACCTATTTGAAACACAGCCAAAAATCAAAATTCTATGAACACGGTAAAATTAAGCATATGAAAAAACTCCAATATTTCAAGATTATTTAAACCCCATTGAAATTGGTCAGAAATAAGCAATTCAAACAAAGTTTAAAATAAAATGCTCCGCTGGGGCGCAGCTTGATACGACCGCAGAGGTCAAACCCTGAACAGTTGGGGCAAGTATGGACACAACATTCAAGCTTGATACAGCACTGAATTTGGGTTGTAATTAAATATTTGACACAGCATAGGTTTCTGACACAGAATGAATGTGGACTAAGAACTTAAAAATTTTTAATTTACCTTTTCAAACCATATCATTATAATTTGCTTTTATATATAAATCAGAAATAACCAATTCAAAATGGAAAATTTTAAAGAAAAAAAAAGGAAAAAAAAATCCCCCCCCAAATTTTTTGAACCCCCTTATGATTCATCAACCCCAAAATCAATCCCAGCCTTCCCTTTGTGGTATGGTACCTTGCAGTACAATTTCAGAGAGATCCATACACTTGAACACAAGTTATTGTCTGGAAACTAGACAAATGCTTATTTTTGGCCCCTTTTTCCTTAACGTTTTGGGCAATTACCCCCAAACTCAATTCCAGCTTTCCCTTTGTGATATGGAACCTTGTAGTACAATTTCATAAAGATCCATACACTTACACACAAGTTATTGTCTGGAAACTAGAAAAATGCTGGTTTTTTGCCCCTTTTTTGCCCCTAATTCCTAAAATTTGGAGGTAATTACCCCCAAAATCAATCCCAGCATTCCCTTTGTGATATGGAACCTTGTACAATGTCAGAGAGATCCATACACTAACACACAAGTTATGTCTGGAAGTTACAAAAATGCTTATTTTTGGCCCCTTTTTGGTCCCCAATTCCTTAACCGTTGGTACCATAACCCCCAAAATCAATCCCTTCCTTCCTTTTGTGGTATTGAACCTTATGGTAAAATTTCATAGAGATCCATTGACTTAAACTAAAGTTAGAGTGCGAAAACCAATGTGTCTTCGGACGACGACGACGATGCCAACGCCATACCAATATAAAAATTGCTCGTTTTTTTACCACTTTTTGGCCCCTAATTCCTTAACTGTTGGTACCATAACCCCCAAAATCAATCCCTACCTTCCTTTTGTGGTATTGAACCTTATGGTAAAATTTCATAGAGATCCATTGACTTAAACTAAAGTTAGAGTGCGAAAACCAATGTGTCTTCGGACGACGACGCCAACGTCATACCAATATAAAAATTGCTCGTTTTTTTACCACTTTTTGGCCCCCAATTCCCAAGCGGATACGGCCATAACCCTTCTTATTCAATCCAACCTTCCTTTTGTGGTATGGTCCCTTGTAGTACAATTTCATACACTTAATATACTGAAGATATTGTCTGGAAAGGAGGAATGTTTTTTGCCTTTGGCTCCTTTTTGGCCTAAAACGCTTAAAACAGTTAGGGCCATAACCCCCAAAATCAATCCCAACCTTCCTTTTGTGGTAAGGAACCTTGTGGTACAATTTCATAGAGATCCATACACTTATACTCATGTTATTGTCTGGAAACTAAATGTCTTCGGAATATGACGACATACCATTATAAAGCTGTCATATAAAAAGTTCACCATAACGAATAAATGTACAAACTTCAAGTTGATGCAACCATAACTTCATATAAAAGACCTGTTACCTTCCACAAGACAGACTAACAGATGAATGGTCAGGCAACAGGATGGATGTACAAAACAGAAAAGAATAGTGCCCCCTCCCAACATCATAGGTAAAGCATAAATAAAAACAAATTTTGACCTTTATAAACAATTTATTAAGTGTTTAGAGCTAAATTAATTTACATTTGTTTACATTTATAACATAATTCACAACATGCCAGTTATGGCCTAGCATTAACATAATTGATAACATGTACAAATCTAAATTACCTCCCTTTTGTAATCATGGTTTGTCTCTATAGCAACAGCATATCTAAATAAAGGCAAGATAACTTTCCAATCAGTGGAAGAAGGCAGGTTAAAACTGTGCTGCCAAGTTAAAATTGCAAGCAGAGATACAAAACAAATGTAAAAAGTTGACAAGTGATCGTATTCTGTACCAGGACAAATATATTCTCTATAAACTTTCATTTTTATATATATTAATTTGAGTATCAATATAAATAATACTTACAACATTATTATAATGTTAAGTTAATGTTTCTATTCTTGAAATATTTTTGACAGCTGGGACAGGGATGTGGGTTAATCTATAAACCATTGGTTGGGACTAGGAATTACAATGTCAATATGATTTTGACGTGAATAATGCATCTATACCGGTATATCATTTTGAAGTATTGCTTTTAGAGAGTATCTGTCAATCCCAAAATTTAAAAAAAAATTCGTAAGGGTTCCGCGGAACCCAGTGTCTCGCCTACTTTTTGCTGTTAATCACAGGCTCAGCAAAATGAGGAAAAAAATTAATAAAAATATTCCTCTCTATACTATCTTTTGATTGTAAGTAGCTTCTGTCCAAGTTTGGTAAAAATCCAGGATAGTTTATGAATCTAATAAATGTTTTAAAAACTTAAACTGCAGACTGTATGTAATGTTAACTGGAAGAAAAACTAAGTCCATTTATAAGTAAAATACGGAAAAAATGGAACAAAATTTCCTTCTAGATACTAGCTTTTAATCATAAACAAGCTTCTGTCTAAGTTTGGTACAAATCCAGGATAGTTTAAGAAAGTTGTTAAAATTTTAAAAACTTTAACCACAGAGTGAATGTAATGTTAACTGGCAGAAAAACTAAGTCCATTTATAAGTAAAATACGGAAAAAATGGAATTTTTTTTTTACAAAATTTACTTCTGGATACTAGCTTTTAGTCATAAACAAGCTTCTGTCCAAGTTTGGTACAAATCCAGGATAGTTTAAGAAAGTTGTTAAAATTTTAAAAACTTTAACCACAGAGTGAATGTTATGTTAACTGGCAGAAAAACTAAGTCCATTTATAAGTAAAATACGGAAAAAATGGAATTTTTTTTTTACAAAATTTACTTCTGGATACTATCTTATGATCATAAACAAGCTTCTTTCTAAGTTTGGTAGAAATCCAGGATAGTTTAAGAAAGTTATTAAAATTTCAAAAACTTTAACCACAGAGTGAATGTAATGTTTCCTGGCAGAAAAACTAAGTCCATTTATAAGTAAAATACGGAAAAAATGGAATTTTTTTTTAACAAAATTTACTTTTGAATATTATCTTATGATCATAAACAAGCTTCTGTCCAAGTTTGGTAGAAATCCAGGATAGTTTAAGAAAGTTATTAAAATTTCAAAAACTTTAACCACAGAGTGAATATTTGTGGACGTCGCCGACGACGACGACGCTGACGGAATGTAGGATCGCTATGTCTCGCTTTTTCGACAAAAGTCGAAGGCTCAACAAAAATGTAATAAAAAGAAAGATGTTGAGTACAAAAAACACATCTCAAGATCGATAATAGACAAAGTGGGTGAACAGCCAAGTAGCGTTTAACTTTGTTTTCTTACTAAATCAGTACCATTCTCAAAATGGCAGCCAAATATTTATTTCTAAAATAACGTTATATTGCAAAGGCCTGTAGAAATCCTCCTCAGACAAGAATAGGTAAAAGGCAAAATTTTGGCCCCAGAATTGGAAAATCAAAAAGTATTATATATCAATTTACAAACATCTACCAGATGTTCATAAGAAATAAGTCAGTATTTATATTTTTTAAATTTTGTCTTACATATCAGAATTACTGCTTCAAACTTCTTACAAAAACAGCATTAACTGACAAAATAGCCTTATTTTTGACATTTTGTATTTAATAATTGCTACAGCTTGACCCAGAAAGATATTTTGCTACAAAATTTATCAATAAAATTAACAACTTTGAAAAGCTTGAATAAGTTTACTATTTTTGCAATATAAGGGGCCAAATAATCGCTTTTATCATACCACCTCCTCTACAAGATGAAAGTGTTTCCAAAATTTTGAAGACATTTATTTTGCGTAGAACATCTGGGTACTTTCAAAATACCCTAAAAACTTCAGTCTTCAAATCATTAAGGAAATTCAAGACAAACATTAATGTTAATAAATTCAAAAAGGTATATTGGGTTGTATGTAGTACATAATTTTTTTTCTACAAATAACTATAGTAATGATTTAGTAACCAACTAGATATTTAATAGAGTGGAAACATTCAATTATATCTATCTATAAAAAAAAATCATCATAGATTCCAGGATTAAAATTGTGTAGGCCAGATGCAAGATATTAATTCATACCAGCTTCAGATCAAGCATGTCACCTAAAGAAACAAGAGCATGCTACTAATATAACCATAATAGCATATAAAGCATAAAGGCCCCTTGTATCATGTCATCAAATCATATCTGTGTGAAAATGTGCAGCCTCAACATGAAAACAAGACTTTTCATTAGATTTTAAGAGAAAACCTTTCAAGTCTTGAATCATATAGGCCTATAATTGCTTAGCACCCACTTCATTTGAACTTTAGTGGATAGTTGTCTCTTTGGCAATCATACCACATCTCCTTATTTTTATATTATTTAAACTTTTAAATGAAAAGGACCTAAAATTTCGTGGTACCCTTATGGTCAGGTCTACTAATGTAAATTGTCAGTGATTACTTGTTTTAAGAAAATACAGAATCTGTAAAAAATTAATTTGAAAAAAAATGTTTCAAATTAATAGGTAGTTCATTTAATATATCAAACTGTCAGCTAGTTTTCAGTAATGCTGATGTCAATGATGTTTCATTGTTATTGACAAATACTATCAATCATACATCAATGGTAGGACCAAATAATTGTAACTTGAATACTGGTTTCTGAGAGACAACACATTTGTACATTCTGTCTTATCCCATAAGTGTTTAAAATTGCACATAATCTAGAAAATGTATTTAATGGTAAGTTAATATGACCTTTACTATAACTATGGATGGATCTCAAGCTTAGGGACTTGAAAATAAAAGGATGGATATTTGAGCTATTCTTAGTGTACAAATATAGGTAAAATATAAATAACTTTATTTCATTATATATATATATATATCATATATATTTATGACTTTAAAAAGTGAAATAAGTTGTAGGTCAATGCGTTGGTACTGTAAATTATCAACTTACAAATAACTTAATTGTAATAAAGCTACAAATCTGAAAAAGGACATTAATATAATTTCTTATCAATATACATGTACATGTAATAGACATACTGATTCGACAAATTTGATGTTAACTTGTATTTGCTGTGAAATATGGAAAAAAACAGCTATCATATAAATAAGTTTGGCTTGTACAACAATAATATATTTGTTCAACATGAACAAAATCACTATATTGCATTCAAGCTCATATTTTGCTTAAAAAACTATCACACTATTTTTTGCTGATTTGTTCTCATGATTTATCATGCTTTCCTTAAATCCAACATGTCATCTAAGGGGAATAACTCTGTATGTTTGCTAATAATCATTTGTTACTCCTGGAAATCAGAAGAAAAACATTTCAGATTTTTCTCAAAGCATAAAAATAAACACATAACTTGCTAATTCCTGCACTACTACATTTTAAAGATAAATCTAAAATGAGTTATACTTCTTGTTCATTCCCTTTTCATGATATGACTTATAGATTAAACATTTTATTACAATATAAGGGAATCACAAGCATCCTATATCTTTTATGAATATTTATAATAAACTATTCCATGTCATGATTCCTTTTAATTTCTTTATAACTAACATGCAATTTCATGGGAACATTTTTGAATATTTAGTATTCTCTCATGTTAATTCTTTATCATGTTTATATTGAATGAAGTGAAGGAACAGTAGCAAAAAGGCAGAACTGTTTAGAATGTACATAAATAAATTTTCTTCCATATATTTGAGATCTATTTTTTTCATTTCAATCTTATCCATATCTTTGAAATCTAGCTTTTTTTTATAACATTAAACCCGAACTGAATATTGCAAAAAAGATCTCTGATCAGAATTAATGAGATATGATGTATACATATTGCTTCCTTCTGTTACCTACTTCACCTCATAAATACTTAATAAAAATATACAACTAATTAGCCTTGTGGTAATATCTGAATTCCTGTGCTTTCCTCAGATCCAGCATGTCACCTAAGGGGAATAACTCTAGATGTTTACATTGGTCATATGTAGCTCCTGGTAACCAGAAGTTACACAAGCCCATAGGAAACATAACAAAGTTATCACAAAAGCACAGGGAACCAGTAATGAAATCATCATCTGATGTTGTTGCCTTATATATTAAAACTACAACAAGAACCAGTTACAGGTATACAAACTTTAGGTCCAGCATGTCACCTAAAGAGTTCTCTACCAAGCAACGCCAAAGCAACCTTAAAATGATATGAAACTGGTAAAGAAACTAATGTATACATACATGTGGTATATGTTTTCAGAAGTAATATATATAACTTCAACTCTCTGATGATGTTCCAGTATTTAATCAAGTTTCATTCTTACATTATAACTTGGCCTCACATATTCAAAACATCTTTTTTAAATGTTTTGTTTTTCTATTTTTTGTCCTTATTTTCATCTTTTTCCATTTTTTTTTGTTTATGTTTTATAATAAATTTTGTAATTTTCATATAATATTCAATACTTTATTATAGATATTTTTTTTATACCTTCAAATTATAAGGTAAGAATTTATTGATCAAGATATTTTTTTATTTTAAAATATTTCTAGCAGGTGAAAAATATATGTTCATTCATAACAAACATACAACCATGCACAAACAAATTTCAACCAAAATATTCTTCACCCACTAGAATGGAAAAATAATTATTCCCAACAGAATATGTTCATTCTCTAACAACAATTCCTCAATGATTAAAACAAAAGCTTACTGTCAAACTGAATATTTTTGGAGTTAATTTCCATGGGATAATGCAAATGTCATTTGTGAATCAACATTTGATTTGGCACCATGTAAAAGATTTGACTCTCTCTGACAGAATGAAAGACTGGATTTATCATGGAAAACTCAACACTGAGTAAACCATGCCTGAGCTTTATTGTAACTCTTCCCATGAGATCTGACTACATCAGTAATAAATAAGACAATTCTAATATTTACATTATATACATATGTACAATGGTAATCTCAACTGGCCTTATATACACAGCACTACGATCAGCACTCATTCACAAAAATAGACACTTTCTGAAATGATCTAGAACTTAATAGCAAGTTTTTTTTTTTATCATTTTTTGTAAAAATTCAGTTGGTGTTCTATAAAAACATACATGGGACACAGGGAAGGCAACTTGAATTTGCCAATATGGGTGGTTGTGACATATCATACATTTATTTCCTTTGTCTGAGAGAGATATAAAGATTTGTTCACCCAAGAATATAACTTTTCGAGGGTGAAGAAATCTTTATATCTCCCTAAGCCAAGGGAAATGAATGATTTTTTTCCACTGCCTTTACTATTTTTACTTTCTGAACATTAATTATTAATTTACATATATTGATAAATAATACCAAATCAAAATTTAATTATTTATTCAAACATGATAAGTTTTTCTCTGGATTGTTTTTACATCTGAAAAAATTTGAACACAATAATGACTTTACTATCGCCCATAACATTATGTACATTAACCGCATGTAACGTCACACAAGGTAGTCCCATCTTCAGAGAGGAATATGATACTCAGAGGGGAATATGAAGTTTTTTTCAATGTCACGTGGAATTGTCTCAACCAATCAAATGTTAATTTGGCTATCATTATTTACATACAGTGGAATAATACTTTTTAATCTATACAGGTCTCTATAGGTGGTTACCCTTATTTGTAAGTACCTTCCCTGGGTATAATGTATGTTGTTTAATGGAACAGTCCTTAAAACAAAATCTTGTTATTTCATCAGCAAACCGTTAATATCAGAAGTTATATGTGTCTTAATAGTTTCTTTCCATAGGAATTTAAAAATAGGTCATATTGTCATGTGATTAACATTTGAAAATAAATACGCAAAACAATTAAAAAGATTATTTAGAAAAAGATTGTAGACACAACAACTGCACATAAATGTAATGGTCTTGTAAAATGTATGAAGGTTTAATTATTTAAATAAGACATAGTTCTTTTAATAGCTCATAAAACATTTCAGGTTCAACAAACATAAAAACAATTCTTAGCACTGTCTTAATTGCACTAAAATAAAATTTTAACCATATTTAAGAAAATATTTCTTAAACAATTTCAACACATTCATTCGTACTGATAAATTTATTATCACAATTCAAATACTGTTGCTATAGAGATTGTTTCCATAGTAGCACCAAACAAAGGGAGGTAATACAATACAATCAGATTCCTTAAAATTCCAGTAGCTTATTAAGCACAAACAATGACCAAGCTACACTATATCATACTCATCTAGACAATCAAGTTCTGTTATAACATGGGATAGGAAATATCACCCTCAAACAGTGTCTTCTAACAATAGGATTACAATTGTTTCATTTACGAAATAAGTCAAGAAAAGAAAATTGTACTAAATGTTTCCATGATTATTTTATTATCGAAATATTTCTTGATTTCATTTTTAGGTTTCTTGAAATTAATGAATTTTCTGTATGAAAACTATGTATAAAACAGATATTGAATATTGCAGCTTAAACATATACTCTACAAAAGTGTTTGGTTAGTTTACAAAGAGTTTTGGAGTTAGTGGTATATTTTCCACACCGTTTATTATATACTTGAAAAAAAATAAATACACATCTATATACTAGTATGTATATAATATATTTTTTGAATTAATTTATACCAAATTCAAAAAAATTTGAAGTACAACCTAATTTTAAGACATACATCGTAGAGCCAATATACACTGAACCTTTTATTAATACTCCTCTTATTACCAACAAATTTCTTTTTATCCTGACTCCTGTTATTATTTTCTGATGTCATTTATCGAAAAAAAAAACTTTTTATAAAATTAATAATCATTGCATTTATATTTCAATAACAATCTTTCTAATCAAATTGACTATCACAATCTTTTTTTTAAAATTGTGAATTAGTGAAAGCTAAACATTGTTTACACAAGCTTTATTTGCAGTGAAAGAGGAAAGCTAAAGGGCAGTGAAGTTAAAAATGTGAAATGATTAGGCAAAACATTCGACAGCAATACTGAAATTGAAAAAAATGACTTTGATTTGATACTTTACAGGAAGAACTTATTTATAATTTTACTGAGAAAAGAACTATACAGCTATATCTTCAGATCTGTATTGCGAAAAACTCTTAAATGACCTAGACTTCTAATCCGCCATCTGCTGAGTACTTTGACCTTTAACCCTACTTAGACAGTTTACTTATCACACGAATTAATGCACCATTTTCTTCCTTTAATCGACGATTGTCTTCTTTTAATACTTCCATTTTCTGTAAAACACAAAATAAAAATGAACTAAGATCTTGTAATAAACGTATCTCTGAAAATCAATGATATTGAAGTGAACTCTGAGTATAATCTAAATCTGTTTCTCCACCTAAATGAAAATTCAATTAAAAAGATATTATCATACTTAATATTGAAAGATCTGTTGTAACCATCTACATTTCAGATGATGATAACAATGTCATTACTGGAGAACAACCTTAAAGTCAGCAATGTAACTTTTAGTTAAATGAAGAGAAAAGTAAACAAAATGAGGAAAAGTCCATTGAAATTATAATCCTGGATAGACAATTTTCCAAATGCAAGATACAAGCTAAATTCTATTATGAAAATGCTCACACAAATAAAACTATTTACTTTCATGACCTTTGGATGTTTGAATTTCTTATTTGTAGTGTGGACACAGCATTCAACATGCATCACTCTCAGTACCATAATAACTCATTACCTTGATATAGATTATTTGAAAGTTTGAAAAAATAATTTTCATTCCGTTGTGTTGTAAATTTAGTACAATTTCAGAGAGTTTCATAAACTTTTACACAAGTTATAGTCTGGAAACTAGAAAATGCTTGTTTTTGGCCCCTTTTTTGCCCCTAATTTCTAAATGTTTAGGGCAATTACCCCCAAACTCAATCCCAACCTTCCCTTTGTGGTATGGAACCTTGTAGTACAATTTCAGAGAGATCCATACACTTAAACACAAGTTATTGTCTGGAAACTAGAAAAATGCTTGTTTTTGGCCCCTAATTCCTGAACGTTTGGGGCAATTACCCCCAAACTCAATCCCAGCCTTCCCTTTGTGATATGGAACCTTGTGGTACAATTTCAGAGAGATCCATACACTTACACACAAGTTATTGTCCGGAAAGTACAAAAATGCTTGTTTTTGGCCCCTAATTCCTAAACTGTTGGTACCATTACCCTCAAAATAAATCACAACCTTCCTTTTGTGGTATTGAACCTTCTGGTAAAATTACATAGAGATCCATTCACTTAAACTAAAGTTATTGTCTGGAAACCAAATGTGTCTTAGGACGACGACAACATGATAGCATTATACGAACACAAATTTTTTGCGGTCGTATAGAAATATTATACACTAAATACACTCAAAGTAATACCCCAAAAGAAAACAAGGCAAAATCCTGACATCTTAAATTCTGGATGTGTTCTCTGAAATTCAAATGTCAGAAATGTAATGCATTTTATTTTGCCCACCATAAATTCACAATCTGTAATGGTCTTCTATCTGATTACAGTGTTCTCCCCAGGGCCTTTTAGCATCATGGTAATGTGATGCTATAATCTTAAATGTGATGCTATCTGAAGTGGTTTTCTTATAGAATGTGTTATGGATGTGATGCTATAATTTTTAGAAAAAAGATGGTATTTCAATTTCCCCTGTTTACCAGGATGCTAAATGAAATATCTGGGGAGAACACTGGATTATAGAATTTGATTTTTTTTTTTTTTATTATCTTTTTCATTGTTTTCCTTGACTAATAAACCATACATGATAAATCTAAATATAAGAAAACTAATACAATACATCTATTGTGGTCACACTCAATTCTACATCAAGGTCTGTATGTTATAAAGACAAAACAATAATATGTAAGACAAGACATAATGGTTTATGCTGAACGTTACATGAATGACCTGGCTATATCACAGCAATAAATACATAATGTAATATGGATCAACATTCTTCACATCAGTATGTCATTTCCTGAATTGACTCTAAAATTATATATGTATCACTCTCTTCTGGGGAGCAATGTTCTGGTTTACTGCCATATGGAGCTTTGTGAAAGTCCTTGTGAAAATTTTGTATGTTACATTTGGTTTGTTTAAATATTGCGTTTTAACTTGCATCAAAATAGCTATCCATCTTAATTATAAAGCTGGTAGTTATGTACTGAAGTAATTTGATATTAACTTCTCAATACAGTAGAGTTCTGACTTTTGTGAAAGGAAGTCAGATGTACCATAATATTGAGACAATTCAGCATACAGAAAAGGTTATAGAATATATTTTTTACAATAAAGATATTACAGTTCTAGATTATATAAATATGTTTGTTTAGATCTTATTATAATAGAAATTAATGGGAAAAATAAATTTCCAATCAAGCGAGTTATCTCCCTTTGTCAAGTTAGTTACAATGTCAAAAGTTTGACTTTGACTTCCTGAATTTGTTCATATAATCTGTCTGTCATTTCAAGACCATACCTCAAGAACTACCATGACAGACTCAGGATTATATATTGCTATCATCTGTTGTGTTAATAGCTTGATTTTACAAATACAGATACAGAGTCCCACAGCTTTATGCTAACAGAAAACAAATCCTTTGTACCTTAACAACATAAACATAACCACCTTCCTGAAATTAATGTATAAATATTTGTTCATTAGTCAAAAGCCAATGAGAGTGCTTGGATTTGTTTATAATTGCCTTTGGTCAATCTTTTACCACTATTATTCCAACATACCAAAACAGACTTTAGAAATGTAGTATTAAATTTCAATAACATGTAAAGATTATATAATCTTAGAATCTGAATACAAGAACTTAGTGTCCAAATAACTTCTTCACCAATGCCCATTGGATATTGAGAAATAATTACAATCATTTAGCCATAATTTGTATGAATGTAGATCCTATCACTGTATCAAGTAGGATTCAGTATTATTTAACTTGAAACTGTTTTTTAAAAATTTTCAAAATTGTAAACATGAAGCGTGCAGATCGTTTTTACATTATTTAAAATTCAACTGTCGAGAGTAATTTGAAAGATTAAAATTGTTATACGGTACAAATAACTTATTTTCATATCGTTTCCTTTTGTATCAAGAAATGAATTACAAGAAATGAACAAGTAACAATGATTCTATATACCTATAATTATAGTTACTGAGAATCATGAAAGATTTAAATTGACCAATGAACCATTGAAATGAGGTAAAAGTCAAGTAAACCCAGTCAGACAAACATATACTTCTTACAACTACTCCATACCACATATATAGTTGACCTTTTACAGTAACCCAGATATAAATTATCATGAGAAATTAAAAATTGATCAAAGAACCATAAAAATATGGTCAAGGTCCCATGAATTATGCTTGAATGTATTGAGTCAATTTATTTACTCATTTATGTCATGTGCCTTTAATCAATTGGAAAAGTCAACAACCCACAGCCAATGTCTTTCCTTAAAACAAAACCACTATTAATAGAATATATCCTGTTTTCCTTTTCATATAGTAAGCTTTAAAATATTTCCAAAAATATTTAAAAAAACAAACAATATGCAAACAAAACAACCTAAGCAATAATGCAAACAAAAATCAACAGGTAAAAGATCATTAAACAAATATGGTGATAAAAGAAACAAAATAGTTTTGTTTTAGAGTACCTTGAAATGCAGTGAGGTAAAACAACTGTCGAATATCCTAAAATAAATCGTCTTAATTCAACATACTGAAAGCACAAGTGAAAACAAGTGAACGTGAAATTAGTAAAAACATCATGCTTTGATACTACCATTACTAAATTCCAGATATCTGTACATGCGCGAGTTAGTGATGTTTTACCTATTTCGACAGTTTGGATATCACCCTTGTTAATGCCCTATTTTCCTCCTTAAGTTTCTTATTTTCAGCTTTTGTTTTGTCCATTTGCTGGAAGTAAACAATGCTGTCAATATTAAACTGCTGAAACAAAAGTTATTTTCTGCAAAGGGAGATAACTGCTCTGAAAACAAGGTAGACAACTGTGACTGAATTCAAATGCTTTGCTGTCCACATCTACAGTAAATATGCTAAATATCATACTGTTGTTTAATTAAGTCCACCAATTTTAACTTCATTAATATAAAAGCCTCAACGGCACTCAACATTTTAACATCTGATATTTTTATCAAATAAAAGATGAGTTACACAATGAAGTTTTAATGAGAACTTACATTAACTTCTTTATGTGTTAACTGTGTGAATTCTACATTATCTATAACTGTGGCGGGTATGTGTAATATAACAGAAGGGAGAAATGCAAGCACCACAAATTACCTTTAATTCTTCTTCTAATTCTGATAATTTTCTTTCTAAAGCTCTTTTTTCCTGTAAAATACAAAATTAATATAGTTATTACAGTAGGTAATACTTATATACAAGAACAATTCAGTATTTATTTCACATTTAAATAAATTTTTCACAGGTATATAAACTTCAGACACTAGACTACTTTTTGATTTCTTTAAGTGTTTTTATTTTGTAAAGTTCACTTTTTGATTTCTTTAAGTGTTTTTATTTTGTAAAGTTCCCAACTTGCTGTCTCACAGATTTACTCACAGGTTGATATCCATATCTTGTTTTTCTGCTTGATTTATTTTGATCATACATTTACATTTTTTCTGCTAATTGTGAGAACTTTCAGCTTTCATTTATAAGTACATTGAGAATTTCTTTTTACGATTCATATTCCCGAACAATTAGATTTCAACATTGTACATATAATATCTATATTTAATATTTTACCCGTTTATCATTTGTATCTGCTAATCTGTTTGCTTCATTGCGTTTCATAAGTCTGTCTAATTCAGCTTTTGATTCTATTAATTCTTTCTTGACTTGTTCTAATTCTTTCTTTAATCTTTCTGTATTGGCTTTTTCATCTTCGTAAAGCTGCAAAAATATAAAATAAACAATGTCACATTCCAATCCCTAGTTTGAACAACTTCCTTTCAATTCAAGTTTTCCTTAAACAAGGGTCTTGACCTTTAATTGATTGGCATTTTGTTTAATTTTACCTCAGCCCATTACCACTATCCAAAAGTTAAGTCTTGCTTTGAATATTTTCAAAAGTGCCATAATGCACTAAACAATCTACAAGTAGTAAATTGTCATTACTTATTTGATTGTTATCTCAAAATGTCAGTCTCAACTGATATCTCCAAAGTTTCTTATGTCCAATCAAACCTGAGATGAGAGTTCACAATATATACATATATTTTGAACGTTGTTTTCAATTTAGACTTATATTCATTATATATATATATTTGTGGTTTATCCTGATTTTCTCCAGTTTGCTCTATCAATAAAACTTTTGTTATGAAATAGATTTAAGGTGTGAAAGATGGCATTCACCCAATGCCACAAATTAAACAAGATGTTACCTATAAGACTGTTAAATAGACCAAAATTGCAACATGACAAGACTCCTTCTGATTCACTGTGGGGGAAAGCATTGTTATCTTTATAATTAAACATTGTACGTTTAATTATAAAACAAATAATTAAACATTGTATGTACTTTAAATGTTAAATAGCAGGATTTCCAAAAAAATTACTACCACTAAACAACTGTACAACAAAGATAAAATAATCCATGCAAGAATTTAGAGAAGGTCAGAATCATGTATGAAAGATACAAAAGTATTTTCTAAGTACCAAAGATAATTCCAGAAAACACTTGTACTGTCAATTATTACAATGAAAATAGCACATGTCATCTCGTTAATTAGATAAAACATTTCTATTATATGTAATTATCTTTATTAGATGTCTTCCTGGAAGAGAATACCGACTGCCCCAGTATGACCTGCCAAACTATTCATCATAAGATTTATATGATGTCCACCCAGGTAATAAGAATCCTAGAGGACTTGCTACACCCCCATCTAGAGTGATAAATCTATAGTCTTCAACTGAGAACATGCATGGTGTGGATTCATACATCATATAGTATTCAGTAATGATTGATTGTTGGCTGTTTCAGTTCCAGCAGCAAATATTACATGCATCTTAAGGATGAAGCTCAGAAATAATAGTATTACAAAACAAATTTACTTATATACAAAAATATGGCATGATGTATTCAAAGCAAATACAGAAAATACATAATTTGAGGATGACAATATTTTAAGGACATAATTCTCAAAAGTTACAAGTTGTCATGCTGATTATTACCATGGTTTAAATCAATGTTCCTTAAATTTTTTTTTATCCACCTAAATTTTTTTTCTGAAATCCACATTTTTTGTTATTTTCAATATTAAACAGACATTACACTTTAACAACTATAGCATTGTGCTAGGAATCAAATCTGAAATGTCTTTTTGGAAACAAGTTACATTCTAAATTATCAAGACTTTTGCTTGATAAAAACACATGATATTCAGAAACTGGAAATGTGTCCTTTTTCGAAGAACATAGTTCTGAAAGAGGGAACAATCATTATTATGTAACTGTGGACTAGAACTAAAAGGTATGGTCAATGCAACCTTTGTAAAACCAAAAAGGCTTTCGATCAAAGCAAACTTGTAAGCATAAAACCACGCAAGTAGTAAAAGTAAAATTGCAGATATATGATGCCCTGAAGTTTTTTCAAAAGAATGTCAATATTTATTAGCTTAAGAAAAGTTTTTAAATGCATCATAAGAATGGAAGCTTCTATACAGATCAGATTGTACCACAGGTTGAAGAGTTTACCTGCATATAAAAGTCCAACTAAAATAATTAAAATGCAAATGTTTAGGATGATTTCCAGTATGTTATCAACTGAAATAATCTGAACATATTTTTGTAAGACTCCCTTCTTATGGCTATCAGTACTTCTAAAAAACAATAATAATTATATCAATTTTTCTCCTTTAAATCGTTGACTTAAGTTGTCAAATCTACCTCCATGTCCTGCCCATCTCCTACAGAATTGAATGACAGAATGTGAAGAAATGTTTGGTACAAATATGTATCTTGGTTCTTTCAGTAGGTACTCTATATATGTTCCTATACAAGAATTTTAACTTGATGTATTATTTGAATGTTGTATGAAGATCAAGCGTACTCTTGCTAACACTATCATTTGAAATGACAATTAAGTTTTAAAAAAGTATGGTTGAATCATAAACTAGCTGTGGTGATTAAGAGAAAAAAGTGGTTAAATCTTACATTTTCTCTTATAAACGTTATCGCATATTCAAAAATCTGATGGTCATTGGTCCACTTTTGATAAAGTTCAGTGTTGGTTTTTTTTACACAAGCTAACTGGAATTTTTTACTTCTAGATAAACATTGGAGTTTATACAAGTTTTTATTTCACTCAGTTATTGTGGCACTTTCCCTATGGCATATCATGAAAGTTTATTGTATCATATTATGAAATTCCACTTCATTTCAACCTTTTTTTTTTTTAAATTTTAATTTTCAACATATAATGTGGAGTTGTCCCCCTTCCAATGATTGACCAAACTATGTTACTGCATCGGAGTTGTTTTGACATTTGTTAGAAGAATTGGTATAAGAATAGGGAGATATGATTGCCAATGAGACAATTACCCATCAAAGACCAAAGGACATGGATGTAAGCAACTTGAGGTCACCATACAGCCTTAAACAATGAGCAAATATCATATTGTTCAGTAAGCTATAAAAGACCAGGCATGACAAAATGGGAAAAATTCAAATGTGAAAACTTAAGACCTAATTGATGTTTTATTTGTCCTTGGACTACTGAATCATTCCCCCTCCCTTATATTGCATAAGAGTGTTACCTTTTTATAATCTAGGTTAAGACTTGATGTAGAACCAATGTATGAACTGGGTCTGTCTGTCCGATGACTGTAACGATCTGAAGTTCCTACATCTGATGTTGAGTTGTATCTCCCTGAGTATGAATTCTGAAGAGAAAAAAAGAAAATCAAATTTATACAAATATGCCATAAAATTGGTTTTACAAATTAGTGTTAGTGTATTGGCATCATATTTCCTCTCTTTCACTAATCAGTGTTTACCAGACTGTCAGTTACTGTTCATGGTTGTCAGACTGTTACCTATCACTCAGTTACTCATCATTGTTTACCAGACATTCAGTTACTGTTTGTGGTTGTCAGACTGTTACCTGTCACCCAGTTACTCATCACTGTTTACCAGATTGTCAGTTACTGGTCATGGTTGTCAGACTGTTACCTGTTACTCAGTTACTCATCATTGTTTACCAGACTGTTAGTTACTGTTCGTGGTTGTCAGACTGTTACCTGTCACTCAGTTACTCATCATTGTTTACCAGACTGTCATTTACTGATCGTGTTTGTCAGACTGTCAGTTACTGGTCATGGTTGTCAGACTGTTACCTGTCACTCAGTTACTCATCATAGTCTACACTGTTGTATTGGTGACAAGAGTTTGTATGTTACTCATTAACCCCCAAACAGTTTGACTGGCATAAATTTTTACAATGTACAGAAACAAGGCATAAAAATATTTCCAAGGAAATTTTTTTTTTGCCTGTACTAAGTGTTCACATCTCAAAAAAAAGAACTTGGACCTATTCTTACTTTTTTCTTAGTTTTAATTTATTTTAATTTATCTATTGAGAAAAACATCATTGTGAAAACATTTTTATTCTGGATTTCAAGAGCCACATCCTTAAATAACAAAATTAAATCAAACTATTATTTATACCTTTTTCTGCTTTGACAGATACTGATAAAATAATTTGAGTACCGGTAGACACATTCTGGACAGATGCATACAGGAGGACCTTAGAGTGAGCTGAATTCAGTGTAAATATTTCTACATGTGAGCACAGTTTATTTCTTAATGACAGTTCTTAACTGTCATTGATTATCTTGATTTAACTCTTTTGCTAACAAATTTTTAACATGAACAAAATATGCAAATTTGATATACAATCATCAGACCAACAACTGAAGGCATTAGAGCTTTATAACCTAATCATATACTGCAAATGAGTTGTCATCAATATCAATCATCCTAATAAATGTATATAAAAAGACAAATAAAAATTTGTAATTTCAAAGTATGATTGCAGCTGCATATAAATGCTCATTCAGCTGCAAATATAACATGCCTGTTCAGGGCAGGGATTTCCTTGCACAATATTCAGAACTTAGCATGAAGGCATTTTAAAGAAATATACTGCAAGTGATGTTGTCATTCAATATCAATCAACCTAATAAATGTATATAAATAGACTATTGAAAATTTTGATTTAAAAAATATGATTGCAGCTGTAAAATGTCCATTGGCAAATATTACATACCTATTCAGGACAGGAATTTCATTGTATAATATTCAGAACTAAACATAAAGGTACATTTGTATTTAGGATTTTAAATGTAATAAATACTGCAAGTGTGTTGTCAATCAATATCAATTATCCTAATAAATACATATAAGAATACAGTTAGAAATTTGTAATTTCAAAAACTGATTGTAGCTGCATAATGTCCAGTGGCAAATATTTAGAACAGGAATTTTTAAAAAGGAAACAATTCACATAATGAGATAGGATATTCACTTTAAAGACTTACTTCTTCACTCATATCCAGTCCTCAAGAAAATAATTTGACAATTATTGTGGTGAAAATGGTTTTAAATAGGTTACTGACAAAGGAAGTTTATTTAATGGTTTATCTACATACTATCTGCTCTTGAGGTAATTAATACACTATGTTTAACATGGAAGGACTTTTATAAACTAATTACCGAGGCTGAAATGTGGCCTGAGTATATAGTTCTTCATAAAGTATAGAAAAAAAGTCATTTGTTTTGTCATTGTAGCTAGTCATTCAGTTCATAATCTTTTAACAATAGGCAAACCTCACCATTTTTGTAAAGGTCAAGACATTTACACCTTTTCAACTTTATCACATGTGGATCACAATGCTTTATGAATTTTTATTGTTTTTTTCCTTTCAAATTGCAAAAATAAAGATATTTGGTAATTTTCCCCAAATCATTTTGTTCACCATAATTAACAGTTAGGTCCACTATATATTTGTACAATAATGTATTGTTTTATGTGTGCTGCCCATCAAGGGCCTGGAATAATAAATATTCTTATTCTTATTTGTACAATATTTATGTGCATTGGATGCCCAGTGGCAAAGAGATAATGTACATTTGTATATGTACTTAGTCAAACATTGTGAGGTAAAATTTCTAATGGAATAAACTACTGCAGAATGGTGATCTCTACAAACTGCCATTATTGGTGAGTTCGTTTTGTTACAGTTAAACTTAATCAAAATCTGTTAAAACATCAGCACACAAGGGGAACAATTAAAAGCTGATGTATGTATTTCTTATGACAGTAATATTTTTCAAGTAACATACTGAATAACATCTGGCTTTGTGAAGTACATAAGAATATATGTGGCAATCATAAACATCCTACAGAATTCTGTTTTAATTAGGCAAAGAATGACTCACTGATCAAAACTTCAAAATACAGTAGCTCTACTGTAAATATCATCATTGAACTGTGAGGGGCTGGATGGAGGGATCTTCATTTCACAGTTACTGGGAGGGACTGGATGGAGTGCTCTATATTAAAACAGTTACTGTGAGGGGCTGGATGAAGGTACCTACATTAAACAGAATCTGTGATGGGCTGTATGGAGGTATCTACCTTAAACTAGTACTGTGAGGAACTGGATGGAGGGATCTACTTTAAACTGTAACTGTGAGGTGATGGATGGAGGTAGAAGGATCTACATTACAGCGACTGTGAGGGGCTGGATGGTGGAATCTACTTTAATCTGTAACTGTGAGGGACTGGATAGAGGGCTCTACATTAATCAATGACATTAAGGGGCTTGAAAGAGTGTTTTATATTAAAAAGTGACTACAGAGGTGGATTAAACAATGACATTGAGGGGCTGGAAAGAGTGTTTTATATTAAAAAGTGACTACAGAGGTGGATTAAACAATGACATTGAGGGGCTGGAAAGAGTGTTTTATATTGAAAAGTGACTACAGAGGTGGACACTTCTTTTCAGACCAAAAACATTTAGAAATTAAAAAAGTCTTGATAATCTTTGGACATAAAATGATTGAAATTACAAGAACATTCCATGTCATAACAAGACCAGAACAGGATACTTATCACTGTCTCCTTAGGAGTTCACTGATAATAATTTATGACAATTTGATAAGTAAAGATCAACATTTTTATAAGTCAGTTCAAGCACTCGTATATCTTTAATACAAACAATATTAAATCTTCTTGTAAACAAAGTTTTATCAATGATCATTTTTCCCAAACCACAAAGTTGACTTTGTTCAAACAGAATATATTGAAGTAAATAAAGTAGTTCCCTCTCTAATGATATCTCCTCTTTTGCACTGAAAAATCGTACCTTTCTAATGATAACCATTTCAAGAGGTGTTCCATTTTGATAAACGGGGTAACTACTGTAAAATTCACTGGTTTTTTTTTTTTTAAATTTACTAGGAATGTCACTGAAAATACTTACTCGCAAAGAATATATGAATGGCTGTTTTTGTATGTGTAAACCCAAAAGTATTCTGAAGTAATTAAGACTTAAGCTTTATAAAATAAGTAATGGCCATAGACCAAAGAAGAAAATGAGGCTGCAAAATTGTTGTTTCTAAAATGGCAATCTTTTATATGTTGAACTGTAAAAAAAATTTTGTCTCTTGTAATTGTATGAATTCAAATAAATATTTCCATTTGTACACACATGACTTGTATTATGTTTATGGGCTTGGTATTTTTATCCTTTCCTGGACAAAGTCTTTATTGGAACTAATGTCCCATGTAAATCAATTCATTGTGGATCAAACCTAATACAGAACAAAGTAAAAATAAAAGATTTAATTTTGAATATAATTGCTTAAACATAATAACTATTATGACATTGACAGTGTAGCAGCTTCCAAAAATCTTTTCCAACCATTTTGAAATCTCCCTTCGATGACTAGTCTGAAAGGGTGGTAAAATTTCCCATTCTGGAATCCCACCCCACCCCTTTTCAACATTATATCAATGAGAATTACCTACACAGAAATATTTCCTCAGAGGAACAATTTCTGACTTTGGAGGTTTAAAGAGCTGGCACCAATGCCTTAAACAAATGGAAGTTTCTATGTTATCCCCAATTTCTGGCTCTTGTGCTTTCGTATTAACTTTCTGTTTAGTAACAATGTCTATGGACACCTCAGATCAATATAAACAGCCTAGACAGACCTACTCAAGTTTTCTATTAACAGAATGAACCCCCAGCCAAGTCAAAATAAACAGCCTAGACAGACCTACTTTTGAATGTTTTTTCATGACAATAAATCATTTAACTTTATTGCAGTAATTATAATTGCTTTTTATGTCTACTTTAAACTGATCTTTATCCTTTTTTAGTATTTTCAGACAGATTTATAACTATTCCCACTGCTGGTTGGCATGGTAAAATCTATAAACGTAACAAAAATTTATTCTAGTGTTGTAATAATGCATTGGTATTTAGAACATGAAAATGTACTTACAGTACAACTGTAGGAGTCAGAACAAAACAGGAGAATGATAAAATGTCATTTAATCTAGTCTCAATTTCATTTTTGAATGTGCAATGAACAACAACTAATTCTCATCCAAGTATATATATTGTACTTTTATAATATCGCTTAAAAAAGTTCCCCCCTTTTTTTCCCACACTCTTTAATTCAATTCTAGATATGCATCCAGAAAACAAAATGAACATATTTTTTCCAGCAGTTTTTACACATCCTAAAATATTTCTACAAAAAGGGGTTGGCTAATTGAAAGAGGGGTAAGGTAGCTCCAAAAGGGACTGTTGAAACTCTCTATTTCTTTGAATTATAATGGATATTTTATCAAACGATTCATAGTTGCCAA